TCAAAACCAGGATACTGGTTACAGGGTACAACAGGACTTGTGCGCCAATTAGGAGTCTGCACCAAAGAGAAAAAATTAAAAAGAAAAAAAAAAAATGTTTTGAGTTTTTTTTAGATACTTGAAGTTATCAAGATCTGTTGAATGGTGTGCGTGATACTTGATACCAATTGTACGAGAAGTGTAGCACCTTTAGATACCCATTGTGTAAAACCAACATTGCATAACACTGGGATTACGAGCAGCAAGGAGGACAGCTAGCAGTGGCATATAAAAGTTGCATATAAAAGTTGAGTAGAAAGATAAGAGAGAGGGTTATTTAGTAATGCACTTGGCTGTGAGAGGCGGTTCCCTGAGTCAGTGCCTTAAACTATCTGGAGCAATAGGGTAGCTAGTTTACACAGTGATGCCCAACTATAACTGTGACTGGGAGTGATAGATGTAGGAGCTCTTGGCACAACTGCAAGATAATTAGGGCAATTGAAAGAGCTGGAGGAAAGTAAGCTGAAATATATTGTAAGCATAAAGTTGAAAACCTGTTAATTGGGTGGAATATAAGTACTTCTATCTTCTGCGAGTAAGGTAGGAATTGAAATATATCTGATGAAGATAGGACCTTAGTGTCAGAAGGTGTGGGATAAACTGAAGGGTGACAATTTGCCAAACTTAAGCCTGCTGCTTTGTAGGGAGCTTGCCATTTACCAATAAGAAGCATTAGGCATGGGAGCAATACAAAGACAAAAATACTACTTTGTGTCTGTAAACGTGGATGTTACAGAGTTTCATGGAAAATATTGGCAAAAAATGAGGTGTAGGGCTGAACACTCTGATCTTTTTTAAGATGATTTAGTATTTAGATTAATTCAACAACAAACAGTTCAGCAGTACCTGTGATAATAATGAAAAACAGGGCAATGCACGTTAGAGTGAATTGATAAATCTTCCTGAGTGTCTCCTGTCCTAGAAGTCTATCATGGCTGAAGTCTGCTTTAAGCAAACTTTAGACGCTAGGCCCTTTCACACTCAAGTATAGAGCCTTGGGTGGATAGGAAGCTTCATGCAGATTGGTATATCAAACAGTAAAAGAAAATGAAGGTCAAGAACAGCTGTGCTTGGTCAGACCAAAATGCTCATCTAATCCACCGTCATGCCTCTGATGTCCCTCTGACAGGGACAGGGTCACTGGCAGGCATAGGAGATCCTAGAGGTAACTGCTTGCTCTTGCAGTGTTAAATCAAGTTGCTTTCAAGCCCAGATTCAAGAGGAAAGTCTGTATAACTCTGGACAGGTTTTACTGCTACATATGTACTTTTTGTCATTCACATAAAGAAAATGTACTTAAAGGACTTCACTTTCGCATCGTAAGGCCATTATGTTTCTTACCTGGACATTTATCATCTGACTGATAATTATAATGACTGTTCTTTGTACCTGGATTCCTTAGGGAGTGGGCCGTAGGTAAAGTCCCTTATCCTCCTTATGTGTTTATATCCCATTAATTTTATTGAGAGTTAGGCAACTAATTACATGCCTGAAAACCTTTGATAAGCTAGGCCTTTGTCTCTGCAAACAGATGCTATGGTGCTGATAGCATTGCAATGGAGTGAAACTACAACATGGATAGTTTTGTGCGTAAGTGAGGAACTGGGCATTGGAAAACCCAACTTTTTTTTTTTTTTTTTTACCTGAATGTCCTACAAAGTACTCTGAAACTTATTTTAATTATTCAAGCTCACCAGGTCCCAGCTCTTACCTAGACATTGTCAGTCTGTTTTCAAGACAGCAAGGTAATATTTTTAAGCTGCTTACAGAAATTTAGGACCAGAAAATTAAAATTAATAGATGAAAAATAGGTGCAGAAAGCACTGCATTTTATGCATTTTCAGTTGATTTTTATCCAGTGTACATATACATTTTTATACAGTGTACATATACATTCTTGTTGACTAGACATAGAAATAAAATGCTTTCTTGGGCTAATGTACAGTGAAGATCCACTTTGATGGCTATCTGAATGTCTTTGACTGTTATAATAATAAGTAGTATAAATCCCTCTGTACTGCAATCTAGTCTTCTACAACTCCAGACTGAAAATAAATCTCTCTGGAATTTTCTTTTTCTTTGCTATTTCTGGCTTCAGATAGCAGGGAGAAGTATACTTTATGGTAGAGTTTGGTTCTTTGGGGGTGATTAAATGCATGAGTCTGCCAAAACACACTTGATCTGAACAGTAATCCCCCAGGAAGTCTGCAAGACTTTGAATTTTATTAGTGAAGCGAGTCTACAGCTGAAATGGTTTCCTTACCTCTTATATGCTATTTTCTAGCTGTTACACTGGAGAGCAGAACCTGATTTTTGTAATAAAATTTACTTAGTATGCAAAATTCCAGATGTGGAATCAATGAAGACACTCAAACAGAGTTTAATGGTGATGATGAGTGACAGATGAGAAATCAGCTCCCTCTTAAACCTGGAATAGCTCAATGAGGCCATGAATTGTAGGTGTTCCCTCATTTCAGAAATGCCAGTAATTGTGAATTAAACACAGATCAGGGATGAGTTTGTTTAGGGAAAATATGCCTTTCTAAATAGTCAGCACTAAGAAAAATAATCTTTTAAAGGGTAATTTAAATAGCAGGTTTAAAAAATGTAATACATGAGCTTTCGAGAAAGAACTACTCAGTGCTTCTTTTACAAAGAATATATCATCTATAAAATCAATGTAGACAATGCAGTGTTTGAGCAGTGATCATGGTGGTGAATTCACAGCAAGCTGCAGGCAGGTTAATATGGACTGATTGTGAGGTACAGACTAATGCATCTTTTCACGAGCAAAATGGCCTTAACTTGAAGAATTTTTACCATATCTTACTGCTGTCTTCTAATTGCTGATTTGAGTAATCAGAAGGAAGGAAAATGTGCACAACAAAACAAATACTGAGGGAAGAACCCTTCCCTTGGGTTTGCTTTCTGTTACATCCAGTTCACCCCAGTTCCTCTGGGTGTTGATGGGTGGTGCAGGGGGCTGGGGCAATTTTGTTTCTTGTTTGTTTGTTTTGTGTTTGGAAGAGTGAGAGTGGTGGAAGTTGTAGCTACAGTCTAATTTTCTGCTCCAATGGAAATGCTCGCTCTGCAGATTTGGTTCCTCTTGGTTCTTGCTAATTTCTTTTCCAAAACTGCTACATGGGCTGCATTTTCTATTGCAAAAGTAAATTTGGCCAGAGAACCTGAAATCCTAATGAAGACAAAGTGATACAAGGTATTTATATCACTGTAGTCAGTTTAGTTTGGTGAGAGCATATGTGGGACTGAATTTTGATTAGTTAACAGACTAAAGCCTGCACCATGTACAATTCTGAAAAATGCTGCCTCAAAAAAATATGAAAGATCTTTTTTTCCAATGAAAATATAGTCATAATCGCATTTAGTTGAAGAACACAGCTCTTCTTTCTGGAGGGCTAGTTTTTTTTTTCCGTTTTTTTTTTTTTTAACGTATATATACTGGGGAAAATAATCTCTCACCTAACTCTCAGAAGTAGAGTTCAGCCTGTTGATTACTGGTAACAAGTTTTGAAAATTTAGGATCCAGGTCAGTATGTCCAAGGCAACAGCTTGTTCAAATGTCTCTTAAAAGCATAACATTAAACATATATACCAAGTATTTTTCTTCTGTGAAATGGCAAGCATATTTCCTTTATTAATGAGAAATTCAATCTTTCTGATTTGAATCCTATCAACTGAGTAAAGAGTTTTTTTTTTTGTTTTTTTTTTTTTTTTTTTTTTTTCAAATGATTTTTATTATTATGCTCCCCTCAGGGTTGTTATCCCACATTTAGAGATTTCTGCAGAGATTTTTTCTTCATTTTGAAGCATGACAATGAATAAGCAACCTTGCTTGGGTTACAGACCATCAAAAGTAATGCTAATGCTAACCTTTGCATTCAGGGTTATTCTTCAATGAAGTCCTCTGATCTGTAAAATTAAATATGTTCCTTCCCCTGGTATGCCTATAAAGCCATCTAAAAGCTCTAAGTTTTTCTAAATTACACTGATTTCTATGCTGACATTTTGATTATGAAACTTTTTCTGAAGAAAATACTCAAACCAAAAAGATATCTGTTCAAAGACAGTTTGCCCTCAATGTGGTGCAGGCAGCGGAGGGGTAGGACTCAGGTACACACAGTTGTACCGTATTAGCAAACTATAGTAGATGCAAAACAATTTTATTTTTACTTTTTATTTATGTGATTCTCTACAGAAGAAACTTTTGGCTAAGGTATTTTACCTTTCATTTGTAATGGGTTAAAATACTTCAGCTCAGCTGCGCTCAGTAACTCATTAATGTGTGGTAAAACCTACACATGTGTAAGCTGTCAGGGTCTTGATGCTCTGAGCACCTGAGTCCAGGTGTTCACATTTAAAGGATAACAATTGAACCCATGAAGGCACAGACTTAACCTGATTAGTTACATGCTCTGGTCACAGGAGAATGAAAGCATTTATATGTAGGTTCACAGGAACAGTTGATAAATATAATTTTATGATAGTATGTCTTACAGGCCAAAATAAAATCATGTACTAGCTTAGTGTTACGGCCCTCTCACAGCAGCACACACCATGTACAGGAAACAAGGGCAAGTCTGTGTGTAAACAGAGGAAATGGACAATTCATAATGAATGCTGTGACCCCGAACAGCATGGAGAGCCCTAGGCCCCGCAGAGGCCTCCCCGTGGCTGGATCTGCAGAAGCCCTGTGCGTGCTTGGGTCCCAGTGACTGCATGCCTCCTGCTTGTTCGCTGTGCTCTCAACTTGGGCTTTTGAGGTGCCTGACCTCATGTCTTATATGTCTTATTTACTGTGAGTGCTTCAAATGCTTTCCTGGGAACACAGTTATTAAGCAAGATGCCTTTCCATGGGGTTTATTCTTAAACTATCTGAGAGCTTCATGAATATTAATGTTCCTCTGTTATTTTCCTCTGCTCTTCTCTAATACGGTGGTAACATGACCCCCATGGTACATATGGAACAGAAGCTCAGAACATTTCATATTTAAAAAACAAACAAACAAACAAAAACAATAGGTGAATTTTAGCACCATGGTGTGAGGAGTCCCAGCAGTGTGGGGATGAGCACAGGTGTGTGGGGTTGTGGGGGGTGGGACACAAGCACGTTTCCTGATGCAGTCTGGGAGGGTAGGAGCAGTGTTACAAGCTTGCAGGGATGAAAAAGAGTTGAGGTAACAGTTTTTTTGTTTGTTTATTTGTTTTCTGTGGCGCTATGTCTCAGTTTTGGTAGAAGGGTTGTGTGCTTTCTGGGGTCTGAAGAAAAGGATGCTGCTTCTGGACCTTGGAAAGATGTTTCCTGAGGAGGCAGCCGACGTGCCTGAGGGGAGGCTGAATGCAGGAGGACTGGTGAGGAATGCGTGTGTGATGTTGTGTTTAAGTTGCTTTTAACTATCTAATGGCTTGATGAACAGAAATTAAGAAGATGTGTTTGTTAAATCCTCCCTGTTCGTGCCTTATAAGCTCCTAAACTCAAGGGAACTTTATTCTTTCTGGACCCCCTTTTTGAGGGTAACTATTTAACATTCAAACACCATGTATAGCTCTACTATTATCTTATAGAATGTGGTGCCAAAAATAATGGTGAGAAAATGCCAGACAGGAAAATGTGCCTCCTTCCTGTGAGAGGGCATTGGCTGGGTTCAGCACGTAGGCAGCAAGGGCCATGGGTTCCTTTCTGGGGGCAGTTCCTGCCTGTGCCTTCTGACTTCTGGAGAACTGACTGAGTCCCATGGTGCTCATGGGTTCTTTCCTTCATAGCTATCAGGGCAAATTCAGCCATGTTTTCCTGCAATTCTTTTCTCTGAATTCTCCCCAACCCTGTACCTTTGGCCTGAGCATTGTTATTGGTTAGTCTGACCTATAGTCGAGTAGCCTAGCTGCCAAGTCATAGTAACTCGCTGTTGAGAGTGTGAACTGAATATACTTAGGTTTTTTAAGTTTTGCATATTTGTTTTACAAGCTTACAATTCTTCCAAAACATAACCGACAGAAGTTTTCTGATGCTGCAGAGAGCTAACTGCCAAACTGAAATCTTGTTCCAAAGTGTAAGTATGCTAGAAAAATTCAGTGGGTTAGCTGTAATGCTGTCCTTAGCAAATCAAAGTATTTTTACTGTAATTTTCACTTTCTGAAGTTTCTGAATTAATTTTCTTGAAACATTTAGCCTGAAGGAGGTACTTGACAGCAAATGTGTAATCCAAAAATGCTTTACAGGGTTGTCTATGAATCACAATTCTAAAGCTTCAAATGATCAAAATTATCACACAGGTTTTGTACTTCATAATCTATCTTTTTAACCTTAAATTAATTTAATGATTTTTAGTCAAGACTTCTTTATCATGTAAAATAATGTTCATCTCCATATTAGATGCTAGCCTGTTATTATTTTGTTTTTTGTGGTGGGTATGTATCTGCCTCAAAGAGCTATGTTATCTGGCAGTATTCTGTTTCCATCTGATAGACCCAAATCAAGTTTAAGAAGGCTTTCTCTTCTTACTGGTGAATTACTCAAGGCAGCTTAGCAAAAACTGTTTCTCCCACACAAATTACTAGCAGTTCAAGTTAAATTTTGAGTAGTTTGTATTTATTTGTTCTTGGACCAATGTCCTTCAACAAATTGCCAATAGTAATAACTGGGGAACCATTGAACCCCAGTAAATCTTACGGTTGCTACAACTTGTTTGTAATGAGCACTCCCTGGAGTAATGTGCTATGGGAGGAGGTAATTATTAGTTGGATTATTTTTAGATATTCTAATCGAGGATGTATTCGTCAAGTTACTGAAGGTGCTTACTTCCTCTCATGTACAGTAACTTCTACAATCTACTTGTTCATCGTCTGTTGGTTAATCCTTCAGCCTTCTGTTCATGTGATGCTGAAATGTGAATTTTGGGGGTTTCATTTTAGTTACAGGTTTTCAAACTCAGTGTGCTTTCTCTTTTGGATTTCTGTCCTATCCTACTGCTCCAATCAAAATTATCTTGTGTGTGTTGTGTTCCTTCAAAGATAATGTTACTCTTCTTTCTCAGAATATATAGAAAAGTTTTTCAGTAATAGCTTCTTCCTTCCTACCCCTGCTGTTTCCTTTGTTTCTTTCACCCATTTCAGAAAGAACAAGCTCACCACAATGGCAGCTAATAGAGGTAGCTCATATCCAAGTTCTTCAGTTTTCATTACGTGTCCAAAACACATTTGGTGAACCTCTCAAGGTTCTCATAACTGTGCTTTCAGTAATTGCAGTAGACTCTAGGGCACACAGGTGATTGAGGTGGAAATAGGATGTGAGTCTGTGTATTGATCACAGTACAGGGAAACCTTTATCCCTGGATCAACCAGGCCAAGTAGGGGCAGACCAAAAACTGTCAAGCACTGGAAGATGACGTTCCTGCTCTGAGACTGGCAAAGAATAGAGGTAGCATTATGAAGAATAGGCAATTAGCTTCTTAAATACATATATATATACACACACAAACACATATATGTATATATTCTCAGTTAAACCTTAAAGAAATACTCTTTTCTGTCGGCACCACCAGGAAATAGACCTCTCGGTCTAGAGGGAGCTTGTCTATTAGTGAGGCAACGTCTATGGTGAGATACTTTCTCTAAGGTGAATGGTTGCAGATTATCCCCTGTTAACAATCTGCTAGCACCAAATATAAGCCCATGCATTATACCTAGGTCTGAGCTGGTCATGTGAGCATTCCTTGGGCATTGGAGGATCTAGTCTCCTCTCAAAGGTAGGTGCCTAAAACAGAACAAATGAATAATGCTCTGAAATATTGACTCTTCTTAACTGTGAAAAGAATCTCGCAGGACAAGCTCATAGGTAGATGTGTATAACTATGCTCAAAATAGAAAGGAATGTCTTTTAGGATAAATAAATGCTATTTCTTCTGTTACTAAATAGAAAGATGTATCTGTATGTACCTTAATGTTGTTAAAATTACTGGTACTAAAATGTACTCAGAAGTGCTGCACTGGTTTGGACTGTGCGTGTGCATCGAACTGCCTTAACTTCAAGTCCAAACTGATCTGCTTTTCTTTTTAGTATTATTATCCTTAGGGTTAAAATTTAGCATAAGAAAAGCTAATCCTTTCCTGTCTGTTGCCCATGGTGATATGTAGGTGTTAGTAAGAACAGTAAAGGAAATTCTTGTACAGTAAATGCTTCATTGCACGTGAGGGACTCTGGTATAAGGACTGACAAAAAAAAAAAGTTTAACAGAAAATAAGTTGTCAAAGACTGTAATAAAGGCTATCAGCATATCCATTTTTTTGAGATAATAAAGCTCAGCAGTGGATCTTTACAGCATTAACTTCTCCAGAGCTTAAAATATCTCAGATACAGTCTTCCATGATAAGTGAAGGAGGCACTGTTGCTCAGATGAGACTATAAGCTGGTAAATGTACATTAGAGAGCAGTAACTGAGAAACGAGCTTGATGAGAGATGGACATGAATAGAACTCTGAATTTCATGAGGTAACTGCAAAGGTAATAATCTAATCACTTCCTCAAGCAAAACATGTAACTACATTTTCTTCTTTAGATTTTCCTTGTTAATGTGACAACTTTCTTCTTCATGGGGTGCACTAACCCTTAAAGTTTTGTGAGTGCAGTTGTGTACAAGGTTCAATTCACTTCTTTCTCAGAGAGGGTTAGCCACCTCTTTGTTTTTATGCTGAAGTAGATTTGTGGTGTAAATGCCTGAAGTAACTAGGAAAATAAAACTAACATTCACACTTTTAAGGAAAAGGTACAGCATTGAAGAGGCTTTCAGGGTAGGGCATAACTGCATTATCTGAGCATTCCCTAGGCTCCCAACCTTAGATGCTATCGCGCTGGGGAAACTTGGTGTGCTAGCTCTAAGGAACACCACGGAGCGTGGAGTGGAGTGGAGACACCACGGCTAGGCTCTGTAATCAGGTGGGGCCTCGATTGTTCTTGTGCACAAAGCTGCACTTTTTGCCACCCTAAGCCAAAGACCTGTCATGTTTTGACAAATGCTGTACCCTAGTGTACTTTTTGCTCATTATAATATCATTATAATACCAAAACACACCTCCATCCCAAAAGCTACCCGCCTCCAAGGTGCGACCACCCCTCACTGAGCATGCGCTCTGAATTTCTCGGAGCCTATTACTTTAAACGGAGACGGGAAAACTTTACACCAATCATAACTAAGATATGCTTGACTAGAGCCACTCAAGCTCCACCTAAAAGATAGAAAATAATATAAATTGGCCCAAGAGAGAGGGGATGTTAGGGAAGATACCATCGTCAGGGGAGATACCATCCCAAGGACATACAACATCCTTAGGACCTCCTGACTCCTGGGATCAGTCGACGGGCTGAGCCTCTCTTCCCCCCCCATTGGGACACCTTTGGGTGAGATCTGAATATTTGCTTATAAATCTCTATAGAGTCTTTGATCCTTTTAACGCGTTTATTTCTAGGCTGCGCACCTAGAACCCGCACCTAGAACCCGCACCTAGAACCCGCACCTAGAACCCGCACCTAGAACCCGCACCTAGAACCCGCACCTAGAACCCGCACCTAGAACCCGCACCTAGAACACCTGTGTATTTCATGCATACTAGCTTGCTTTTGCAGATAGTCACTATCACCGGCAATCCAAAAGAACCTGATTATCTGTTGCTGTAATAAACCATACTTGATTGCATTGTGATAGCTCTCATTAATGCAACTAGGGTGAGGGTGGTTATCCGTGATAGTTCAGTGTTCTGAATCTAACCAGACCCCCAGACGGTTAATGCATTGTTGGTGAATGTCTGAACGGACCCCCAGGTGGTTAATACGTTTTTGGTGAATGTCTGAGTGGACCCCCAGGTGGTTATTACGTTTTTGGTGAATGTCCGAACGGACCCCCAGTTTTGGTGAATGTCCGACTGGTTCAGTACTCTGAATCCAACCGGGCCCGTAACGGTTAATCAGCTACACCCCTTTAACGCGACAAGATTTTATATTTCTTAGGATCTATTTGGATGCTATATTTCAACAACACTGATACGTGAAGGATCGGGTTTGCTATCACAGAGCTTGGACTATAGGTTAAGCTCAAAGTCTCAGGTCTTTTTGTTCTTGTGAAACCTGTTTTTTTTATTTTTATTTGTGATTCTTGTCTTGATTCTGTCACAAAAAAGTGAACAGTAACTGGTCAAAACAAGTGATTCCCCACTGTATTTCATGTTGTGGCCTCACCTTGGATATTGTGTACAGTTCGGGGCTCTACAACAAAAATACTTTTAAGGTCCTTGAAAGCATCCAGAGGAGGGCAACAAAGCTGTAGAAGGGCTGGAGGCATGCGCTATGAGGAGAGCGTGGAGACAGTTGGGTGGTCTGTTCTGGAGCAGGGGAGGCTGTGAGCAACCTTGTTGCTCTCTGTAGCCTTCTGAGAGGGAGGCGCCAGCCTCTGCTTCCTGAGAACTGATGGCAGGATGCAAAGAACAACACAAATCTGCACACGGGGAGGTTCAGATGGGACATTGGGAAAAATGTCTTTACTTTGAGGGTGGTCAGACACTGGAACAGGCTTCCTGGTGAGATGATTGATGCCCAGTGCAGTTAGGCAATGCTCTTAGTAGCATGCTGTACTTCTTGGTTAGCCCAGAAGAGGACAGGCAGTTTGAACTTGACAATATCTGTAGGTGCCCTCCAACTGAACTGTTCTATGATATATGTATGTTTTTGCACGCAAACAAACTGTAACAAATGGTGTGTCCACTTAGAACTTTTTGGAAACATGTTTTGCAATATCTACAATATTCTACAGTCATAAATATAAGACATTTTGACCTCTCTTAACTGACCTTGGTAGTCAGTGTTCAGAAAAAAACACACAGGACACCATTTTGTTAAAATAAAGCTAATTTTCCTGTCATTCTGGTATTTATCTTCCTTTACCAGCACCTATGTGTCACTGAGTCTAGGTGGCTTGCTGAGTTCCTATGTATGCAAGTGAGACTTCAAAGGAAACCAGGAATTGGGCCTGGAAGGAAAAAAACAGCAGTCTCTCAAGAGCTGGAATATTGATGAAACTATCCCACTCAGATGATCTTAATTGCAGTCAGTAAAACCTGAGTCAGTGTAAATAATAAAACTCTGCTGATGGGCATTAGGGGTACAGAGAGGATAGCAATTGCTTCTGGAGAAATAAAGCATTTAGGACTCAAAATATTTTTTTGAGATGTAGTCAGCTTCCAATTTTTGTTTCACTATTTCTTTTTTTTTTTTTTTTTTTTACTGTAATGTATGTTAAGTTAAAGGTCATGGAGGGATTTATGGCTAACTAAAAATTGAATTAAAAATCTTCTTGCTACTTAGAACATGAAAATCTGGGGAACAGAAATGTAACAGCGAAATACCCTAATTTTTCTTGCAATCAGTGCTTCTTCAGTATAAGCTATATCAATCCAAGGTATTTAGCTTCAGTTTAGTAACCATCTTGTTTCTTAAACAGTGATGTGGTACTAAAGCTTGGATGTATACTTCAACAACCCAGCTGTTTTTAGTAAGTGCTCAGTGGTGTGAGTAAAATCCAAACAAATGTTTTGAGTAACTTTGGTTTTAATGAGATGTATCCCACCCTTTCATTCTTGCAGCCCCTCTCTACAGAGGGGAGGAGAAATGATGGATGCCACAGGAAAATGCAAGCGATTGTAAGCAGAGGGCTCATAACAGCTCAAGCTGTGGGTCTGTGCATTGGAGTGTTCTGCTCACAGCAGTGGCTGCATGCTGATGCCTGTGAAAGAGGAAAGGCAGGGCAAACAGAGGCCATGTCCCTACCCTTGAAGAATTTCTCCTGTCTGTTGAGAAGAGGGGTCAAAAATGTAATTTATTTGGTTGGCAGGTAGCAGCTACATACACTTACCATATAATTCATATATATATATATATTTGTGTGTGTATATATATAGGCTTTGTGTGTGAAGACTTTTTGTTTTTCTGTAATATCTGTGCTTCTTAAGTAGCCTTTCTTTAACACTTTCAAATAAAGCTTTAGACATCTGTTTTTTTTGTTTGTTTGTTTGTTTTTTCTTTCCCCTAAAGGGAAATACAAAATTTTACCGTTTGACTTCCAATAAAGTTGAGGTTTCTGCCCAAGTCTGGTATAGGTGTTGTTAAATCTGTCTTCAAATAATAGCAGCCAAATAGCACAAAATCAAGGTAGCTATGATTTGTATTTAGTGTGCCAGGATTAGTCTGAAATCCAAACTTGAGGCGCTGAATTACAGTACATTTTTTAAGAAGAAAATTTGAGCCTGATAGTATGTCTCTAGAACTAAAAATATCTACAATGAAAACTGCTCAATTTGATCAAAAAGTTTTTTTTAAGTGTCACTTTTTGATGCAGCTACCTGTATTTTAGGGTGATGAATGCCTAATTATAATGCCTAGTGTGTGTCTCTACTCATAGGAGCTTGCTTATGTTGCTCACTGGCCTGTGGCTGGGAGCTTAAGGTATCAAGAACACAATGTGTTTGCAGTAGTTCTGTACTTCCTGGCAAAGAGGTTTAGAAGGAGATTATTATTACTGTTGTGCTTATTGTAACAGGAATAGATAGACCCTGACCCAATACTTTCTACAAAATGCTTAGTGCAGTAGAAATGTTTCATTTGTCTTGAATATAAATGCTGCAAACTTTTTAGGAGTTCAGTATTTTTTTCCCCTCCAGTTAATACATTCTCTTGCTTCTCTGCATCTTCCTCATGGCTTCATGTCTTTCACTGTGTCTCCTGAAAACCTTTGTGGTTTTGAGTAGGTTGTATGACTTCTGGGAGAACTGTTTACTAGAGAGCAGGTGTAGTGCTCCTAGTGCTGTGTGGTCCAGGTGTGGAGGTGCCTCAGTCACTGGGGCAGCAGGAGCTGGGCTTCCTTATGGAAGAGCTGCTGCTGCCCTCTGGGAGAAGCAGGAGAAGGCTCTAGGGCTGCTCCTCAGTTCTACAGTTCATAGGCCAGCACAGGACTTTCCACCATCTCTTGATGCTGGGCTTAAGTTAGGACTGGTGGGGAAAGGAGTGGCTGAGAAACTGGTGTGTGTTTGCTTCTGATGATTGCCATTAGTGTGTCCATCTGGGTAGTGTTGTCAGCTGGAAGTAGTAACATTGTACCTGATGAGCTTTGCCTGCCTGTATGAACATGAATCATCTCTTTCTATGGTCTTGCTAATATCTAACTTGGCTTGGAAACTGTAGTATTAGGTGTGACTTGTCTTGATCGAGTCACTGAAAATTAAGAGTAAGAAATTGAGGTTCGGATTACAAATTTCATATAGATTTAGAGTTACCTAAATCAAAATGGGCTAACAAAAAAGTTTTTGGTAGTGTTTTGCTTCAGTATTTTTTTCTTATTTTGTACTAGGTCGGTGCTTTCCTTGGTAAGGACTTGGAGCAATAAGAACTTGCAATTGACCTGTGCTGTATTTCAGACAGCATTGGTATTGAGAAGTGTGAGACTGATGGGTCAGCACGTACAGCTGAGCTAGGCTGGGGCCAGATGGAAAGGGAGCTGAAGACGTTTGGGCAGGGGGTGGTGTATTTGTTTGTTTGGTATTGTGCTTGTAAACTGTCTTTAAGCATCGTGTGGGAGTATAAACAAAGATGTCTGTAAGACTCCAGTAGTTTGTGGATTGATGAGCTGATTTGTCCAAATTGTTACGTCTTCATAAACAAAGAAACAACCAATCCTTGGAAATGCAAGGGATGTTCATTCATTTTGATTAACGTGGAAGTCATTAGCGGGTGGTATAATTGTAACACAGGCTTAACTACAGATGAGGTAGGACAGAGGGCCTTGCCTCTACCTGTGGGATTATGGTGAGCAGTACTTGGAGGATGCTGCTAACAGTAATGTATTCTCTGAATGGCACTTCATTTTTGTTTTTCCCCAGTTCCTTAACACATAATCTGCAGAATGGAAATTAGAATGCAAGTCACTTTAATTCTGTCTGCTGTTGTTCAGATCCCAGAGATTGTAAACATGAGATGTGTTAACTGGATGAATTATTTCTGTAATTTAAGGAAAAAAAAGGCACTCAGACTGTGACTGCACCTGGAAAAAACAACTTTAAGGAGGTGGGAAAGACTGCAGACAGGTAACTTTGGTCTAGACATGAGGTCTTTTCATAAAATGCTTGGTTGACTAGTTAGAACTACAAATGTTACATCACTGCTAAAGCTAATAATCTGAAAGTAGCCAAAACATTCGTGCTGCTTTCTTAGAAAGCAGAAACTTCACGCTTTCTGGGTGATGCTTTCTCAAAACAAAGTATCAACGTGGTGCTATAAGTCTCTGGCATGCCTGTGGAATTTGGGGTACTGCATGAGGTGGAAAAGGTATGTGACAAGTGTTCAAATAAGTAGAGTAACTTCAATATGAAGGACAGGTGACTCTCTTAGGGCTTCGTAGTGTAAAGGAAAAGCCCAGGCAGGATATGAGAGAAGCCTGTGAAGCTGTGAGTAGTGTACCCAAGGAAGCTGTTCCTGTCTCTGACTTCACAATTCCTCTTGGCATGGAAAATTGAGGGTCAGACCAGTGTACTGCGGAAATAGCACTGTCTGCCTCCCTTGATCACAAGTTTCTCTGTGATGGTGACTAACAGAGACAAAATTTTGGCTAGATGGGTCTTCAGTGTCCAAGCTCCTATCTGTTCACATTCCTGTGTGGATAGGCTCAGTTACATTCGTGATGAATGAGAATACTGTTTTCTTGGCTTATGGAGCTCAAATGGAAAGACAAGGTATCATGCAGTGTTGGGAATAGGAGGAGACTTCTGAAGGAGAGAAGAAAAACAGCTGCAGCAAAAATGAAGAAAAAAATGCAATTTACAGTGTCTCCTGTTAGTTCTGTGGCTTCCAAATAAATAAATCATTTTAGATTTAAATTCTATTGTAGGTTAAGCTGAAACAATGCACAAAAGCCCAAGTGAGTACATGTGATTAGTGGAACAGGGCTGATCTTCCATCTTCTGAAACGGTTCCCTACAGTGCCCTATATTTCCCTTTCCAGATACCATGGAGATCCAGCCTTTTTGTGCCTTTTTTTTCTTTTTAAAGTTCACTGGCTGTCAAAACTGCAGTGTGTGCTTACCAGAAGGCTCTTATTTTGTGGTAACAGTGCCATATTAGATTGCAGTTTTCTAAGCTAAAGTAACAGTAATACTGGCATGGTTGGTATATCCAAGCTTTCTTGCCAGTTAGCCCATGGATGGGCTGCCTAAATTTACACCAGCGCTTCCATCTCTGCTCATTCAAACAGTTTATTTGCTAAATTTTGCTGTGGTAGCTCTTTTTGTGAAATGAAGCACCGAACTCATTTCATGTAGCTCATTGAATAGGGAGCTCTGTCAAGTGTATTTGGTTACTCAGACCCCTGAACTAAGCTGCAGGTTGATAAAGAGTTATCAGTCCCACAGTAAGGTATAACTTACTATGGTTTAAAATAAATAAATAAACATGCTTCTGAAGAGTGTCTTATTTTTTTCTTTTAGTTTCCTGAAGGAGTGTGAAAATGGCATTTGCTGCAGAAAGTTGGAATTGTGGATACCCTGCATCCTGAACCTGCTGCAGAAGATCTGGAGTACCTGCAGGAGAGCAAAGACAGTAAAACTGCATTCGTACTTCGTGGGAGTGAATTACAGCAAGGACTTCTACCTGCAGCAACAACACCCAGGTTAATGTACCAGTGCACACCAACTGCTTAGGAATATGTGGCAACTCTGTTCTGGGTGGTGGTCTGAGAACACCAAACTCATTTCATGAGTGAAAGCTTTCAGAAGAACAGTTTTCGGTAAAGGAGAGAATTTTGAACACCTTCATAAATGCAGCGTTGGATGTTTGCCTCAGCCAACTTCCTAAATTTCCGTTTTCCTGCCAGAAATTTTCTTTTCTAAAAATATTTGACTTTGCTGTCTAATCTAGAGACGGATAATGCTGATTTTAAAAATCTGACTGATACAGGATAAAAGAATGACTTCTAAAACAGTGCCTGAGTTGCTTTGGAACGCATTTTATAACCAAATGCACTGTTCAGGGCATGGTGTGGTTTCTGCACAACCCTGTGCTTCCCCCCAGTAACCATTACTGCCTTCCTAATCTGCTAGAGCATTTAGTACCCTCCTCTTATCCGAAGAAAAATACAATTGCTGGCTCTGATATTCATTAAGTGATAATCCAGATTAATTCAGACTTTGATGTAGAAACAGGTCCCATTTCAGCCACAAAGAAATCCACGTTGCCCCACAGAAAATGCATGTGCGCACACATGCACATATACGTGCTCAGGCAGTATGTAGAATGCCTTAAAGAAACTGTAGCTAACCACCTTATTAGTATTCCTCCCTCCTCTGTGTTTCACTTGCAGCAACAGAGGGCTGAGCAAAATGCAGTAGAACAGGGACAGAGACAGAGCTGGCAATCATCTCGGTGCAGGCTGCTGAATGTAGGGGGTGGGGGGGATGCAGCAAAGCAAGATTAATAACCTTGCCATAATCCTGTGCACCCTGGAAGGAGATACCTCTGGTGACTGAGCTGTTCTTGTCTTGATTAATTGGACTGAGCGAATGAGTGGCTGGCAATCCACCTGGTTTGGAGGCGACCCCCTGGTTTTGCTGCTCTCTGAATCCTCTACCCATCTGGGAAGGTAACAGTGAGACGTACCATCTGCAGCACACACAGCAGCTATTGGAGGCTACTACTGACAGTTTGCACTACAGTTTTTTGGTGAGCAAGAAGCCAGGTATATTGTACGGTAGGATATTTCTGTGCTCAAGCTACTGAATTTTTGCAATCTGGTCCTTCAGCAACCCCCCACGCGCCCTCTTCCAATTGCCTTTGAGTTCTGGGCTTACTTTTGGCATAGTCTCCTGGACGCATTTTGCTGGGGATGGAAGAGCAGTAAATGGAACCTCTGAAAACTAATTGTTTTGCTTCTGTGTGACTCGAGAGAGAGAAAAGCAAGACGAATCAAGTGCAGCTAGAGGAATTTACATTTCTTTTGGAGAAGTTTGCAGAGGGACCATAAAAAAGGTAAGTCCAGGGGTTTGTCTACCCCTCTGTCTCCTTGCCTGATTGTGCTTGTTTGTTTGGGCTTGAAAAAAAGATTAAACATGAGTAGCAGGTGGCATGGAGTGTGGTGTTTGTAAATTCTGTGCTTATGATTTGTGTCCTCTTTTTGTCTTCTTATCCTTTTTCTTTTCCCTGCTGTTTGCACAGCAAAAATGCTTGTAGAATAATGATAATAGTGCTGGAAAACATTACTTGAATAGTACTAGAAAGCTCCTTTCATTTCAAAGGTATTAGAATTTATTGGGAGGTTTTTTGTTATCATCAGACCAGCTTAAAATATTCGGAAAGGATCTAGAATAGGTAAGAAATAAAGCTCATGTAATGTGGTCAGTAGAAGTCTCCATATTTTCATAAATCTTGTCTATTTTTTCTCTGCATTTCACTCAGCTCTGGAATGATGAATATGTAAGTAAAATGCTGCTTCTGCTGCTGTGAGTGGAAGTAGAAGGTAGCAGAATGGAAACAGGATTTGTGCATCACTTATGTGAAGTTCAGCTGTTTGTTTCTCATTAACCTTTTGAATGCTTCTTCATCCCCCGGCCCCCCTTTTTTAATGGCTATAGAATTTATGAGATATGTAGAGCTAAACAATAACTCATTCTGGAACAGAGTGCCAATCATAAATGAGTTTTTTGTGGAGCCCTTAATTTTGGGGATGGAAGTGCCTAGCAGGCATTAAAGCAGCCAGAGTAAATGTCTCACCCAGCAGGGTTCATGGCTCTCCAATATTTCTTGATCTTTCATTCATATGACTGTGATACTGCTCAGTGTTTAAACCTGGCTCTTTTCCCCTGACTCCCCAGCATGCTGGTTCTGTGGGTACAGCATGACTGTTGCAGCCTTCTCTCCTGTCTTTTCATTATTTAATAGAAATAAAATAGCATTGCATTACAATAGAATTGGAGCTCTTGTAGTTGAGCTTTTTTTTTTATTGCTGCACTGATAGTACTTAGCATTCCCAAGGAGGTGAGAAAACCATCTGTAAATACATTTCAAAGATGCTTGCTTCTCCAAATGGAATTGTTAGGCACTCACTCCTTCTCAATTATATGAATGTGAATGACTAATATTGAAGGATATGGTATCTATTTGAAAGACTGCTGCATAGCTGATTACTTTGTGTAAAAATACATAGATTAAAATAGTTCTACTAAATCGGATGCTAGAGGGGCTTATATGTATACATGTGTAATGTATGTAAAGAAAAAGGGAATTACGTAAGATTTGTGAAGGACACATCAAGTAGGATGAACCTTTAATCCATTTGGTACAAAAAAAGTGTAATGAGCCTTCTTGTAATAGATCCTGTGTTGCAAGGCTAAAAACTTAATGAAAAGGCTCTGCTTCAGAGTAATCAAATCACTTTACATTATTGCATCCTGTCAGTCAGTCCCTCTGCTTCCCATCAGTTTTGCATAATAGCTTTAAAGAGGGATTAAGGAAGAAAGAAAAACTGGTTATAGGTGTGTTTCCCCTCATTTTCTGGAAGTGATGCTCTGTATTGCACATGTTTTTACTGTATGATTATGACAAAGAAATCTCTTCCTGGGCAGCATGCAGTTTGCCATAGTTTTCCCTCATCGTACTTTCTTCAAGCCCCATCACATGTAGCACATGCATCTATTTTGCTAGATAGTGAGCTATCTTTTAATGATGGGGAACAGTCCCCATGTGCTGTTTTTTTTTGTTTTTTTTGTTTTTTTTTGGGGGGGGGGAAGGGGAGGGTGAAGCTCTTCAGAGCCTTGCCCCATTTTTAGAATTCAAGTATAACGCAGGGTGTCAAAGCAGAGACGTTGGATGAAGCAGGAGGGAAATGAAATGAAGCAACTTTTATAATCTAGGGGAGAAGACAACATGCTTGCTCCACTAGTAATTCTGTGTGTTCTGGTGTGTTAGATGTGATTTAGTAGTGTTGTATACCCTAAGCTAAGAGGGAAAGGTAGTCATCTGTATGCAGGAACAGAAAGGATGTCACTGCTCTTTTGATATGGTTTCCAGATGTCATTTCCATCTATCTCTTTGATCATCAAACCTTACAGAAGTGGGACTGGTGTGGATTTTTGTGGGTATAGTATTTACTATCTGCTTATACTGCAGACTAATGCAAATGGTTTTTATTGTACATATTAACATGTTCACTGAAGAGGAAATCTAGCGCTTCTTCCCCCTTTTAATATAACATGTTATATCACGTGATTTAGTTCTGGTTTCAAATACCATTTATATTCTTATGGCAGTAATGGGAATGGATAATACTCAGTCCTGCCAGGTTTTTATGTGTGAACAGGCTTTAGCAGCAGTTGGATTCTTTCTTTTTTTTTAATGTGCAGTTAAAAAGAACTGTGGAAAGTCAAGTGTTTTCACTTCAGTGTTCCATCTTGGTGACCCTTCCATTTTAATCCCATTTCATAGCCTAATGCCCCAAACGCCTTCACTCTTGCCTAGCATGGAGGATGTATTCTTCTGTGTACGGCTCAGGTGCTTGTGTGAGCTCACTCCACTTCACATTTTGTATTCCAGCATCTTGCTGAAATATGAAGGGAAGGCCTGCAAAGCTGTTGTGATGAGCAGGAATTGTAGGTACAGAGACTCTTGAGCTTCATTATCTAAATGTTGTTTTAAGAATAAGTGGAAGATGAAAAAAACTGAAATTTCTTTTTCATTTAGTTCCAGTTAGTTGAGCAGCTTCCTTTTCTCATTGCTAAAGTCAGCCAACCAGGCACTAAGCTCCTCCAGCACATGCTTCTGTGTTTCTGAGACCCGGGGTACTTTACACATGAATTCCTTCCTCCTTCTGAAACAAGCTGGGCTGACAACTGGTAAGTCAGTCCTGGAGCTCTGCAGCAGTGTGCAGCAGGGGGAGGATGGGAGAGAGGAGATGTGACAGCAATCCCAGGACTGGAAGCAAAAGCACAATCTCCGTGGGATGGCAGAACACGTCGTTTTGATTGCTGACTCATCGTGTTGGTCTGCAATATTACCTTACACTAATGTGATGATACTGGGCCTGCCTTTGAAATAATGAACCAGAAAAGAGTAGTCTGTCAGTAAACAGACTCTACGTAGGAATTTGTACTTCCCTAATTGCAAATGGTGTAATCAACAGGAAATTCCCTTGAGTAGTGTTCTTAAGTCTCGTACTTCAAGAGAACTGATAGTAAGTAAATTTTACTGCTTTTAGCTACTTAAGAAAATATGAAGCTACAAGTAATAACCTTTCAATTGACAAGTTAGTTGACTGCAGCCAATCTGCTGATTTTCCATGCTGTTCTCCTTCCTGTTCATTTCCATTCAGCGTCAAAGGATAAGGTTAGGAATGAAGGAGGCTCAGAACACAAAAGCCAGTTCCTGGTCTGGCAAACAATGGAGTTAAATACATTCAAATCTTAATCAGCAGATTAAAACCAATTAGGTTCTTATTTCCAATACTCCTGTGTGGAAATGTGAAAGTTGTTCGTGAAATTGCTTAAATTCTTGTCTATTTAAAAAGACGGTTACTCAGATTGTTTAGGGAAGATAGTCTTTGTGGTGTTATCTGGACTTCCATAGACTGAGATAACTAGGAAGACATCTTTTTAGTAGAATGAGTTCCTAATGTTTTTATGAAACAAATCCAAAAGATCATGTGTGGGGTGGGGTGCGTGTGTGACTTGGTGTAGAAGTGCTCAGAAACAAGGAGAGCTTGACACGCCTACACAGGAGTCTGCTTCTAGAGGCTGTTGTTCAGGCTGGTGCTCTGCAGAAATGCTGAGGTGTAAGAGCTCTTGCTGATCAGTTTATGAGGGTTACATGTGGCAGAATACCACTGATGCTGGAGGTGAGTGGTGGGCAGAAATTCCTTCAGAAACTGGGGAGTTTCTTAGAACATATACTGTGCAGGCAGAAATGTAGCAAGGCATCTTGGTCTCTTGCCAGTGTGCGTTGAAGAAACTTTTTGTACGGGCAACAGTTATTTTCTAATTTGCTGAATATTCTCAACTAGTCATCAATTTTGTTTGTGCATTGCAAAGGCTTTTAGAGACATCAGTATAAAACAAAAGCATGCTTAAACCAGGACTCACGCACCCGTAACTGCAAATACAAAGGGCTTCTGTTGCTGTATTTTTGTTGTAGCTTTGAGCTTGTATCCTGTGGCAAGGAGGCTTTCCATTAGGCCTGTTAGTTTTCTAGCTCTTTGACAATTTAGGATGTTGTTTTTGTAGGTTAGATTTATGTCAAGTGCTCATCAAGTCCAGCAGTAATTAGAGGCTGTCTGGTCCAGTCCTGTTACTTGTCATGTTTATAAGAGTAAAAACAGGATTATATTTGTTGTAGTTCATCTCCTCTGAAATACCTGAATTAGTGTGAGGTAAAAGATATGTGTAAGCGAGGTGGAAGAGGAATAAACTGGGACTGGGGTGGGTGGATGGGGAAGAGACAGACAGAACTGTACACAGTACTCCAGGTGTGGCCTCACCCTTGCTGAGTAAGAGTTGCCTCTCTTGCCCTGCAGGTGATGCTTTGTTTAATGCAGCTTTCTTAGTGGCAAAGCACACTGCTGACTCAACTGAGTTGGTGTCCAACAGGCTTCCTAGGTCCTTTGCTGAGAAGTGGCTTTGCAGCTGGGTGGCCCACAGCATGTACTGGTGCCTGGAGTTGTTCTTCCACATGTGCAGGACTTCTAGTTTTCCTTGTTGAACTTTGAGGTTCTTGTCTGACAACCTGTCAAGGTTGTGCTGGATGACAGCATGGCTTTTTGGTGATTTAGCTACACCCCCTAGTTTTGTGTTGTCTGTGAATTTACGGAGGGTGCACTGTTCTCCATCATCTAGGTTGTTAATGAAGAGGTTAAACAGGGCCAGACCCAGTATCGACCCCTGGAGTATTCTGCTTGCTCCTGGCCTCCAACTAGGCTTTGCATCCTTGACCACTACCCTCTGGGTCTATCTGTTCAGCTAGTCCTTGACTTACCTCCCTGTCTG